TGTGTGGAAAATATCTAGCACTATACAGATAAAATTCAACAAAGATCTTAGGTCACAACAACCTCACGCAATGCTCCAGGCTAGGGTCAGAACAGCTGGGAAGCTGTCCAGTGGAAAAGGACCTGGGGGTGCTGGTCAATGAGTGGCTGAACATGAGCCAGCAGTGCCCAAGTGGCCAAGATGGCCAGTGGCAATGGTGTGGCCAGCAGGAGCAGGGCAGGGACTGTCCCCTGTACTTGGCACTGGTGAGGCCACAGCTCCAATCCTGTGCTCAGTTCTGGGCCCCTCACTGCAAGAAGGACATTGAGGGGCTGGAGCGTGTCCAGAGAAGGGAAATGGAGCTGGGGAAGGGTCTGGAACACAAGTCTGGTGAGGAGCAGCTAAGGGAGTTGGGAGTTTTTAGCCTGGAGAAAAGGATGCTCAGGAGGGACTTTCTTGCTCTCTACAACCATCTGAAAGGAGGCTGTAGCCAGGTAGGGTTCAGTCTCTTTGCCCAAATGACAAAGGATAGGACAGGAGGAAATGGCCTCAAAGTTGCACCAGGTGAGGTTTACATCCTACATTAGGGAAAATTTCCTCTCTGAAAGGCTTGTCAAGCACTGGCACAGGATGCCCAGGGACATGGTGGGGTCACCATCCCTGGAGGTATGTATGAGATGTGTAGATATGATGCTTGGGGCCGTGGTTTAGTGATGGACTTGGCAGTGTTGGGGTAGAGCTTGGACTCCATGATCTTAAAGGGTCTTTTCCAGCCTACACGATTCTACCATTATTTTTTGTCATCCTTATGGACACAGAAAGACTAATTTGTGTCACAAAACCAGGCCTAAATGGCACCGTTCTCTCCTGTCTACATCCTCCTACAGCACTACCCTTAATTTTCAGGTTTCCTCTTACAGGATAAATTCTCAAAATTCTCCACTCCAAGGTTGCAGCCTACAGTGTGACATATCAATTGGTTTACCTGGCAAATCCTACTAAATCCAAACTATTTCTGTTCTTTCCTTCAGTGATTTCATAAGCAGCTTAAGAAAAGAGTAGTTTTCAGTTTAAACTGGAAACAAAATATTTAGAAACAGTACTCTTCATCTATGTCTGTATTATGTCAGGATTTAGCAGCTCCTGCCAGTAAATTAGTCAGGCACTTTCAAAATCTTCAGGCACATTTTATGTGCCTGTCTCATTCTCACAAGCAGAAATCCGTCTTGCAAAGGTGTTTTTTAAAAATGTCATTCTTCTGTTGTTGCTTACATCTTAAGGATCTTTTTCATAGATTTTATTGTCTCTCAGTGACTCCTGCATAGTTGTTGATGGATGGCTTATACTCAGCTATTCCTTTCTTTTCTGTAAATCAAGTTGGGGTGTCCACATGCATTCAAACTAACACACAGAATGCAATTAATAAACTTTTATAGAGCTGCTATGAATCCATCACATAAATATCACTAAAATCGTGTGGTTTCTATGCTAAAGAAATGAATCTGTTTCTTATGAGAATTATACTGAGCTTACTGGAACAAAATGTTCAATCAAATCTGTCATCTGAGATTGCAAAGTAAGTTGTGAATATATCCTGTAAATACAATCTGTATTTGAAGTTAAATACACAAATGCACTTAGGTTTTACCTGTTATTACATATTGCACTACAGACCCAACACATATTGAAGAATTCAAGTGACAAATACCTAGGAAGGATAACTAGTAGCTATATAATAATTTATCACTGAAATTATATCTAAATTATGCTACTCCTTTAACACCACCACTTTTATCCTGCTCTGAAAATATTCTATATTGAATTGTGTATTATTGCTTTATTACTGGAAACTCTCACCTGCTATGTACAGAATCCAAAATTTTGACTAGTTAAATTCCATCCCATTAATCATTGCCCAATCTGAGATCCCTCTGCAAGGCAGCTTCCTAGGTAATGCCTAGCTCCCCTCATTTTTGTAAACAGATCAGTGTTGCACCTTGTCTTGCTTGACATTTGTTCACACTCTGCTGTGCACCTGCCCTGATCTACCTCCTTTTTTTCCTGCAGAAATGCACTTATAGCTTTCCATGAATTTTAATCTAAAAGCTGATTTGAAATTAGCTTTTTTTTTTTTTTTTTTTTTTTTTTTTTTTTTTTTTTTAACTGACTGGCTTCCACAATTTGTAAAGCATGTTCTTTAAAGTCAACAAATAACAGTTATGAGTCTCACAAGACAAGCTCTAGTCAAGAGATGATGTGGATGAGCAAAAGCAAATAAAAAAGGTCAGAAATTTGACATGGGATTTTTTTAATATAGTGGGGGAGGTATTTGGATATACCTAAGAGAGTTAGAAATACAACTCCAGCTAATGGCAGTGGAATTGTCCTTCTAAAAAGCTTTGAAAATACAGAAAAGTAATTTAAAAATTCTTCTTCTGCATTTTTTTGCCCCCCCCCATTCCATTTAGGCATGACAGATGGAAGTTAAATTTCTGAATAACTGATTACCACTGAGAGAGGGTAAGACATGGAAGAAATTAAAATATATACACTGGGAATATGGCTGAAAAGTTCATTTCAATTGAGCAGATGAAAAAATAGAAATTTCCTGGCAGTTGCATCAAAAATTACTTCTAGTACATAATACTTCAGATCATCTCAAAGCTCTGTATTTAAAATAAATAAACCCAAATTTCACTATTTAAAAAAATCTCAGAACTATTTCAATTATAAGAAATTATATTTGAAACATTAACTCAATTACAGTATGTAAATAATGAAGAAAAGTGTTATGAAGAAAATGTTTTCAGGGCTCAGAGTGCAGCTACTGGTCCTACAGCTTTCTCCTGTCATCCTGACTGGCTTGGCTACAAGGGAAAACTCTTATTTTCTAGAATGAATAGACAAACCTCATCAGGGAGTTCCTGTCACCTATGCTAGGTGACCCTGCCTTGGCCAGGGAGTTGGACAAAATGATCTCCAGAGAGATGATTTCCAGAGGTCCATTCCAGTCCTAATAATTCTGTCATTCTGTAACTTTCCTGAAACTCCACATATAATTTTATTTTAGTCTCTTATTTAAAAAAAAATTTAAAATCATTTTTCACAGCTTGAAACAGCATTTCTGCTTACACGAAAGCCATCTGACACAGCACAGTATGTAGGAACCCAATGAAATACATTATTCCTTAGAAATTGTACTAAAGCTTCTGTTCACTTGGTTAATTTCAGTAAACATATTAAGGAGAACAAAGCAAAAGCTGGACATGTAGTGTACAGAAATAGACTAGCAGGTCCTGAAACTGCTCTGTGAAATTACAAGACAATACACGCAAAGTGAACGGTACCATCCTGGTAGAAAATCTCACTGGTGTTTGAAGAAATTTAAAGTCCTTCAAATTATTACTGCGAAGAGCTGAAATAGCTGTGATTCCTAAAAGCAATTTGTTGTTCAGTAAGACAGACTGAAGGCCACAAGAATGGAAAGGCATCAGGCCAAGGTCGTTTGCAAAATAATCTGAAAATCGTTTGATGCCCTTTGACAAAAGCATAGCTAGTCATTGAGGGAGGAAAGGGTAATGTTCAGCCTTTTCATTATCTAGTAATAACAGAGTTTTAAGATGAAGGAGGGAAAAAAAAAAAAGAAGAAGAAAAAAAAAAAACCACCTTTCCTACTGATTTCTGAAATTATCTTAAAGGAGAAGTACATGTTCTTCACCCCGGGTAAAATTTTCCCATGGTGAAATTCACTCCAGCTTCCTTCCGATCGAAGGAGGGATGGGGGCAGTGAGCCCGGGACGCCCGCACCCCGCCACCC